TTTTTTTTTTCATAGGTAATTTTTATTAAGTATTTTTAATTATTATTTATTTATTATATAAAATTATTTAATCTTATATAAAAGTTAAATTAAAATCATTTAATTTGATAAAAAAATATTTTTAAAAGATTATAAATTAATAAAATATAAAAAACTATTTTAAAATAACAATTTTACGTCTGCCTAACCATAGCTTAAAAAGCACAAAATGAATAAAAAATTATTAAAATTTTTTATATAATTTTATGTGTTATTAAATAATAATTATTTTTTTACTTATTTAAAACTTTTAATATTGTATATATTAATTTATTTAATAATATATATAAATTATTTAAAATAAAAAATTATATAAAAAAATTATCTTATTATTAACCGAAGGAAACAATAAAATAAATATCCGAAATCTGATCGGTACTTGTACGCGTATACCGGATGTTTCTTTGGGCTCTGACTAAAGGCCGCATGGGCCAAACACCATCCACGATTATCGCTTTGGGCAGGCTCTAGCAGACTTCTAGATCCGCAGAAAGAAAAAAAAAAAACATTATATTTTCTTTGTTTAGGGTAACGACTAAAGGAAGGACTTCTCAACATTACAACTCGTTTTAAAAATGTCAAATGATTAATTAATTTGTGACAAAAGATGAATGAATTAATTTGTCAATTTTTTTTTTTAATATTGCGTATTTATATGAGACAAAGATGGCATTACAACTTTGGAAGGATGAACTTTTATTTTTTAAAACTTGTGACTATAGGGTTGGTCCCTTTGAGGAAAGACTTGTGACTTTGCTAGGGGATTTGGCATAAATAAGTACTGATGGGAATTTTTATTTTTAAAAATTTTAATTCATTTTTTTAACTTGAAAGTGGAAACGAGCTTAACAAAAAAGTATGATACGAAGATAGTGATAATTTTTTTAATAAATATAAGAATTTTTAAATTTATATCCCATGATATATTATCATTTTACCTTTTTTTCTCTGCCCCCATTAACTGGGAATAGGGATCCGCTGTTCACGCATACAAGACCAATCACTAAATTGTATGTAAAACATTAGGAGGATGATTGGCATACATCTTCATCTTTCACCCTCACTTACACATTAATTAAAATATAAATATTTCAAATTAAAAATTAGCTTAAGAAAAACTTAATCTTGTTGCCAAATGCCCTCATAATCGTCTTCTTCTCCTTCCTCCCTCCCAATAGACTCCCTGCAATTTTGTTTTTTTTTTTTTTTTAAATAGAATCCCTATAATTTAGGTTTTAACTTATTTTCTCCTCTCCTTTGATAAACTATAACTTCTCTTTTCCTTTTTTGTCTCTACTCAGACCAAAGCAAGAACCAGGTTTTCTTTATCCTTTGTTTGTACCAAGCTTTCTCTCCTCCTCCTCCTCCTCCTCCCCTCCTGCACTAGATTTGGCTACAAAATCACTGTAGGTTGAGCAAGGAACCTAGATCTACAGGTATTTTTGCTCATTTTGTGAATATTTTTTAAAAAGAGTCGAAGAAATTTGAGAACCTTTCTCTTCTTTTCTCTTTCTCTGTTTTATTTCCCATTCATTATTGTTTTCTTCCTATCTTTTTGTTTCTTTGTTGGTCACCGTCAGGCTTGGTTATCTGGGCATGAGATGTTTTGTGCGGCCGTCGTTGGTGTTGGTAGAAGAGGGTGAGTTCCTTCTGTGTTATGAAGATTTTGAGGAAAAATTTGTAGTAAAATTAAATTTATAGAGGAATGTGTAGCATAAGTTTATTGGGAAAATTTGCTTTGTAAAAAGAACAAGAAAGATAGAATCTGATGGGTCTCTCTCAAACTCACTCACCCTTTCGTCATTCACTTAAAAATCCCCAAAACCCAGAACTAAAAATCTTCAAAACTCATGCTTCTTTTTCCCTAGATTTGAATTGAATATGGAGGAGATTTCAACATTAGTGATATAATTCTGAGCAAGCAAGGGATAAGATAATCCACGGTAGAAAATGTATTTTAA